CACCCTCTCCAATTCAGGACCCCTCGGGGGATGTCTGACTGCCGGTTTAGGCCCAATTCCCCGGGAGCGGGCCTAAAGCGGCAGTCGGATATCCCTCTCACAATCCTGGACCGCTGGCTCCTAATCGCTCACCTGCCTGCCTGCCTGGTTGCCCCTAACTGCCCCCCCGCCCGCCGGCCTGATTGCCCCTCACTGCCTCTGTGTGCCGGCCTGATCACTCCTAACTGCCCCCCACTGCCGGCCAAGTCGACCCCAGCTGTCCCCACCCTGCTGGCCTGGTCGCTCCTAACTGCCCCCCCCACCAGCCTGAGCACCACTTACTGCCCCCCCTGCCAACTTGATCTTCCCCAACTGCCCCCCTCTGCTGGCCTGGTCGCCCCTAACTACACCCCCTGCCGGCCTGGTCACCCCTCACTGCCCCCCCCCCCCCCCCCCTCCCAAATAGATCCGTGGCCATGCGGTGATTCGTGCAGACAGATGTTAAGGGTAATTTTTCTTTTGTTTGAAACCTTTTCCCCACCCCTTCCTTTGGACCCTCTCCTTCCCGATCCATGACCACTTGCTTCCTTCTGAATGAAGAAGCCATGGTCCCATTATGACATCTGTAAGAATTGCTCCCAGAACTATTCTTGGATTGATCTGCGAAGAATTTACTCGACACTCCCTTCTGGATTACGGAGCATTAACTTTTGGAATACAGTCTTTGTACGCAAGTCAGGGTATTTTTTTGAATGGGAAAACCCATGCTACGGATAAACAGCCCGGGCTCGAAAGGCGGGGTATTTTTAGACCCGCGATTCCGAAGTATAAAAAGCGACCGATACCAAAATGGGTCTCATTCGAGCGAATGTGGTTCTCCTTGTCACCTTCGCAGAGGCTCTGCCTGGGTCTGGCGCATTGTTTTTTAAATATTTTTTAAAACATTTGTGTATTGATTTGCAAGTGGGAGGGAAGAGAGAGATTTAGAAGTATCAGGTGATGGAAGAGGAGAATGCATCGGCTACCTCCTGCATGCTCCCTACCGGAGATTCAAGCTCACAATCAGCCAGTGGGCCCTGAGGGGGAGCGAACCGTGGC